ACAAAACGCACCTGCTGTTTGGTGCGCTGCTCCACGACGAAAACAAGCTTAAGCAATGGCGACGTCGAATGGTGCACACTCGGTAAGTAATCCTACAATTTTTTGTTTATAGCATAGTTTATACGGATTATTCCCAAAAAAATATATGTGTTTTAGAAATGTCGAGTCGAATTAGTCTAGGAATCGATTAATTTTATGGAAGAAAACCTTTCAAACAGCTGTAGTCCGTAAACTTCACACGTGTTGGGCTGTGATTGGCAAGGTCTCCTAAAACATCAATTTCATAAAAAACGGAATGTATCTACTGTCTTATAGGGGGGTTGACTGTATTATAAACATAAATTTAGTAGCATAAGTATGAGTTGATTGTCATAAAAAATTTCATGATAATGATAGCTTTAGTGATTTTCTTAATTGGATATTTATTTTATTTTACTTTAATAATGTATGTGCTAAAAATATAATGTGTAAAAATAATAAATATTCAAATATCAGTACAGTCAAATGAAAACCAGAAAATACTTGAGATGATGCTGGAATCATCAAATGTTGTTGGTACTGTACATACTACTGATGTTTCACTCAGGTTGGCAGTTTTGCTAGTGCATTGTAGTGATTGTAGCACCAGATACAAAATGGATAGTTGATTGACTATAATGTCCAAAGAATCCCAGCATTCTGTAATACACTTCCTGAATATTGGTTTTGTTAAAATGTTATATTTTCCTCCCTTTCCTTTGATGTAAACTTGATAATATGGCATTTATCTGATAAACATTATTTGCCAATTAGCAGGTGTGTACTGTGACAAGTGTTTGTCAAAGTTGCAAGCTTGTATTGTTTGGTCCACAAGTACATGTGGACCAAACAATTTTCTTCTGAATTGGTGTTGTTGGCTGATGACCTATGATTTGGATGTTCCAGAGTGCATTTGTTCCAGACAACATTTGCATTCTGGTTCCAGACATTGACAGAGGATGCCACTTTCAGAACCAATATGAACATTTTCCAGAGCCAAAATCACACCTATAAAGCTGTAATTTTGACTCTGGAAAATGGCCAGTATAAACTTGGGACAGAGTTTGGAGTTTTAAAGCAGTTGTAAGCTAGAAGTGTGTTTACCGTTCTTAAAGAGAAATTTTGTTTCTTTGCAATCAATTCTGTCCAATGAAATATCACTAAGAGCAGCATCATCGAGTCAATCTTTAACTGGTGCCCAAGGATTTTCAGCATTCCTGTGCTACCAAGTGTCCAACAAATCAATGTTACTGCAGTATGAAATGTCACAACACTATAGACTGCAGAAACAAGTAAAAGTAAAGAGGCCTTCATCTTGGTAAGATAACTTATTTTTTTTGTGATGTGATTTTTCAACTATAATTAAAGAGTTTTTATTTTTCTTGATGTGATTTTTTTTCAATGTATTTAAACAGCTCTTATCTTTGCAGATGTATTTTTTATACAACTAAAGCCATTTCTTTTTTGTATGATTTTTTAAACTATTTACTAAAGATTTCTGTTTTTTCAACTGTAAATAAAGCTATTTGAACATTGGTCAGCTTTTCTCTGTTTTTAAAGTGATTTTTTTTTTACTTTGATTAGAATAAAGAGATTTTCACAGTGGTAATAATGCAATTTAGAACTGATATGATTATCTCGTAACTGCATGATCCAGCTCCACAAAACTTCTAGCAAATATAAACAACTTTACAAAAATCTGATACATTATAATAAAGCTACAAATGTCGTATGATGTCAGGCTAAATGACAGCTATTTAGTCTGATGTCATACGATAGTTGTTGTAGCTTTATAATAAAACTTCTAGCTTTGGCCACTTTTTCTTGGACAATTCTTGAAGTGACCATTGATTGTTGGGCACATAAATTGATTGGCTGAAGCTAGAAGTGGCCAACCATTTCATGAATTGGCTAGACTTCAGACATTGGCCATAACAAACAAACACACAAACATACATACACTTGTATATATGCCATGTTATTTCTAATAAAATGATAAATGATCTGGACAACCTGCATGAATGTAACAGATGTAGCATGACATTTGTCAAGAACAAACCCAAAAAACAAATCATTAGATCAGAAACAGGACAAAATGCTAGAAACTGTTATGAAAATTGTGCAGTTTGTTAATATTGCACAAGACATAAAAATGAATAAGTTAATGATATAACATTGATAAATATTTTCTACTAAATCAAATCCTTACAAATTGATTGACAACAACAAAAAATTTGAAATGTAACCATATGAATGCAATCCTACTGACACAGAATGGGAATGTAAAATGAAATTTGCATTCACATTCTGTGTCAGTAGGACCTTATGGTTAATAATTATAGAACCAATCATGTTAATTGTTTTATTACATTGTAAACTCTGTTTAAAACATGTTAACCTTTTTCCTGTTAAATTCAAATCTTACTTAGAGCAAGTTCAAATATCGAAATTCATTAACTACATAAATCAAGGTACAGGAAATCCTCATTCGAAATTTGGGAATGAAATAATTGCAACTTTAAATTACCTGAGATCTATGTATTTCTGTATATGCCAAATGCCACATAACCAATGTTAATTTATTAAGCAAACAGAATATGGCTACTTATACAGAATCTATTTTTGTTAATTAATTAATGATGATAATATAAATAACTGCAGGTTTACAGCACATGTCTGGTAAGATATGAACTAATGAGATTTTGAACTATCAGAGTTTAAATTAATGAGGATTTCCTGCATTACTATCTAAAGTCACTCTCTTAACTTATTCAAAATGTCTTTACACAATGATACTATATAATGACAATGACAAAACTGCACACTGCTATAAAAGTTTAAAGTTGCATTCAATTGCTAGTACTGTCCATGATAAAAATAAACAGAATATAGGCATTATGTGACTAAAACTGGGTCATTTTTGTGAATGACATCACTGAGCACACATTTTTAACCAAACATATGTCAGCCAAATGTGCATGTTCATTCCAAACTAGAACACTCAAATCGTGAATTTCTGACAGACTGGAAGAAGACCTATAAAAGAAGCAGAAAGCATTAGTCAAAAAGAATAAGTGAGCTGGAAAAGTGCTGAACGGTATAGTGTTTATTGGTTTATCTGATCAACGTGATCATGTAAAGCAGAACTCCACAGCCCATGTGCCATGAGATGATGATAAGTGTTCCAAGGTATAATGCTATCAAGAGGAGGAAAAGCACAGAATTTACACGTGAATATGATAAATATATATTGATTCAAAAGGGACAATGATTTGCCTATTACATATTTATTGCCACTTATGTACTGATGTTTGTGACAGGAGGAATTCTAACAAACTTCAAACTTTCACATCTTTATAGTCATATTTCCCAGAATATATGCACATGTAAATTTGGCAAATCGTGTATCAAAGTCACCATCCCAATTTTTGTGAAGTGACAAGTAGATAATGTAGCCACATGCACCAACAATCAGGGAGTTGAGATACCAATCACATGCTTTTTGCACTAGAAGTATGTGATACTTTGTCCAGGGTGGTTTCAGAGTTGTTAAGAAATAAAATTGAAATAAGAAAATTAATTATAAACTAATTTCAAATATTTGTATATTATTATGAGTAAAAAACCAGTAAATCAGTGTTTTTTAGTATGTACTTTAACTATTTTTTGTAATTTTTACTTGTGGCATGCCACAGAATTCTGGGAAGTACCTAGGTGTGTTGTGTATGAAAAAAAGAGTGCAAAGCACTGACTCATAGCATAAATTTTCACACTTCCCATCTTAAAATGCTTTTCATTTACTTACATTTTTTAAAATAAAAAATGTAAAGAAAATGTTTTTTTAGCTAACTAAGTATGCTGAACTTTAAAGTTCAGCATAGTTAGTTTCACAGAAATTTAATTAAATCAATTTTATTAGCTTAATTTTACATTTTACAAGAACTATATTCTTGTAAATTAAACTTGTAATTTTCATTACAAAGTTGTCATAATTTCTATGTCCATANGGAAGAAGTAGTTTTTTCGAACATCGCAGTTTTGAAGAAAGTCGTTCTACTGGTCTTCGTTCTAACAAATTTTAAAGAAGAATGGTTGCTTGAGAAAGGACCCAGGGAGGGATCCGAAAACGTTTGCATGTAATTTTACTCTTATTTAATACCGGTTAAAGGGTTTGATGAGGGATTATTTTTGTTTCTTATGATATTTTTTGTTCATTAATTTTATCAAAAATTCTGAATTAATTATGTATCTACATAATAAATGTTAAATAAATTAGTTTTCATACTGAGTGATCATAATTGAAAATGCCTCTAATCAATACTGTCTCAAGAGATATTTAGCAGTCCAAATGCAATCAAATTTAGTAATGGAAACATTTCAGAACCTACAGAAGACATTTCTATAAGAAAAAAAGTTTTGCCACCACGGCATTTTGAATCTTAATCCATGTGATTTTCAGTTGAAAGACATTTCAAAATGGGAACTGCAAGCAAGCAGTATCTTTGCTAAGGACATTGCATAGCATTAATGTCTTGTACAAATAAAATGCTTGTTACATGCAGTGCCAAAATTGCTGTAGTGGTGAGCTTTGGTACAAATATTTTTTTTATGGAAATGACTTTTACATCCTGAAACATCACTATTCTAAATCTGATTGCACTTGGACTGCTAAATCTCTCTCTTAACAGCATTGATAGGATACTTTAATCACAATCACATGGTTTTTTATTCAAACAAAAACTTAGTGTACAACAAGTATGAATAAACATTTCTCTTCAACGAATAATTAATTAATAGAAATCACTAAAAATGCTAATTCACTATTTTATTTATAATTAGCTATAAATAATCTATTGAAAATGCCAATCATTATATCAAACTTGATTTTATCTAAGTAAAATTATCAGAAATGTTAAAAGAGCACAAAGTATCTAAATTTTGTTCATAATTATATACATAAATATATACATATAAATACATACTGTAGAATCTAAATTTCCAACATATACTGTTCTTCTTATTTCTTCAATTTTAGTAGGATCCATGTTTGCTGGTAAAGGTGGATATTGTGGTAGCCCTAATGCAGTTAAATGAGGATCAATAGTTGTAATCACCTGAGATCCTCCTACACCAGAAACCTGAAAATATTAATACCATATAAAATAAACCAGCAACGAGTTGTTCAACTTTCCCAGCAACATTTAAAATTTTGGTAGCACCATCTGTTATCATATTTTATTAAAACAACTTTTTATACTTTTAACTATTATAAAATGGCAAAAAGCTTAATTTCGAGGGTAAGAATGAGTTTTATGAAATATTGTAAATGCTAATAACGAGTAAAATTGTCATTAAGTCTGACCCTACTGGGGATGCATATGACCTCCATTACCCACCCCACTTGACCTTCAATCACTAAAATTTAATAGCATCAATCCCCCTAACAAACAAACCTCTCTGCAAAATTTCAGAAATTTTGGACAAATAGCAAAAGGGTTATCAAGTTTCAAACAGGGTGAACAAAATCATGAAACAAACACACACACACACACACACACACAGCAGAAATTACTCCCAATTTTTGATGTGAATATGTCTTTAAATTTGCTTCCATAGTGGGAGGCAATTCAGAAAACTGATGTTAACAAAATCTGGGAATACAGTTTGGCATTGCAGCTACATATCTATCACCTACATCCAAAATTTAATTACACCACTTGATAATTAAAGGATCAAAGAATTCATTACATTGAGCAGGGACTGTGACACATTGCGTGCGGCGGAGGGGAAGCACCGCCATTTTAAGGTTGTTTCACCACGTCACATACTTTCTGTTTAGTATACATTTTGACTCTGAGAAGCTATGACATTCATTTGAGTTTCAATTTACAGCTCTCGTCAATATTTATCAATTGCATACACAAAACACTAGTGTGGAATAGTTATGGTGTATTTATATGGTGTTAAAGTTAAAAATTAAGAAAACTTAATGTGATGTCAGCCCATACTTGTCAAAAAGCCAAATCAAAATATAGAAATCATATACGGTTGGAAGGGCTTCTCAAGAGCAATCCAGTGATACCCATAAAACGCCATATGACAGAGTAAAGTGGTGCCAGGAATGTAAAAACATGAAGATCCGAAGGACTTCTTACTGTTAAGGAATTATTATGACATACATATAATACACTCAAAGAAAATATTACCCGTTAACGTACACATATTCACATAAAACACAAGGCCATGTCCCTGACATAGCCACATTCCACTTTTTTCTTCTTCTTTTTTTGCATTTTTTGACATTTCAAGGTGTCCTAAGTCCAAAAATGTAAAAATCTTGTGGGGATCATTTTTTTGACCGATTGCCATGCTTTCCCTATTATATATAAGAGCTGAGAAAGTAAAACAAGTAAAACTATATAGTAAAACATTAAAAATAAAATAAAATTTAGTAATTTANTGATCTCATGAAAAATCAAGCAGAAACCAGCCAGGAAAGCAAGGTGTTTAAAGCCAGCCATTTTTTTTACACGAGAACAGATTAATCATTTTTACATTACTTCTTATGGAAAAGGTTGGTTTGGTATACGTCCTATTCGGTATAAGTCCAAACACCAGGAACGGATTAAGGTCGTATACCGAGGTTCCACTGTATATGTTACTGTGAAAGACCAAAATTAGAGAATGTTGATATTCTCCGGTGAATGTTGACACATACAAAATACATTGGTGAAAGTCCGAATATTTGGTTATAGTATTATACATAATGACTGAATTAATCTAGTTTTCCTTGTCCCATAGTTACATTACTGATCTGTAGCAGTCATATACAATGACATTCTATTAACAAATTATCTTTGAATTGGAATAAGCTGAAAGAAGTACTGTACATGAAAGCATAAAATATTGGCCAAATCCTTTAATGATTCATTTACTCATTCAGTAGTCTTATTTCAACCAAGGAAAAACACTTAAGGTAGAGACAGAATCTGGACAAATAGCAAAAGGGTTATCAAGTTTCAAACAGGGTGAACAAAATCATGAAACAAACACACACACACACACACACACACACACAGCAGAAATTACTCCCAATTTTTGATGTGAATATGTCTTTAAATTTGCTTCCATAGTGGGAGGCAATTCAGAAAACTGATGTTAACAAAATCTGGGAATACAGTTTGGCATTGCAGCTACATATCTATCACCTACATCCAAAATTTAATTACACCACTTGATAATTAAAGGATCAAAGAATTCATTACATTGAGCAGGGACTGTGACACATTGCGTGCGGCGGAGGGGAAGCACCGCCATTTTAAGGTTGTTTCACCACGTCACATACTTTCTGTTTAGTATACATTTTGACTCTGAGAAGCTATGACATTCATTTGAGTTTCAATTTACAGCTCTCGTCAATATTTATCAATTGCATACACAAAACACTAGTGTGGAATAGTTATGGTGTATTTATATGGTGTTAAAGTTAAAAATTAAGAAAACTTAATGTGATGTCAGCCCATACTTGTCAAAAAGCCAAATCAAAATATAGAAATCATATATGGTTGGAAGGGCTTCTCAAGAGCAATCCAGTGATACCCATAAAACGCCATATGACAGAGTAAAGTGGTGCCAGGAATGTAAAAACATGAAGATCCGAAGGACTTCTTACTGTTAAGGAATTATTATGACATACATATAATACACTCAAAGAAAATATTACCCGTTAACGTACACATATTCACATAAAACACAAGGCCATGTCCCTGACATAGCCACATTCCACTTTTTTCTTCTTCTTTTTTTGCATTTTTTGACATTTCAAGGTGTCCTAAGTCCAAAAATGTAAAAATCTTGTGGGGATCATTTTTTTGACCGATTGCCATGCTTTCCCTATTATATATAAGAGCTGAGAAAGTAAAACAAGTAAAACTATATAGTAAAACATTAAAAATAAAATAGAATTAAATATATATTTTTGATCAATAAATAAATCTTGTTAATAATACCATTTATTTGTTTAATTTAAAAAAAGTTATGAAACCAAAAGAAAACAATTTTTCAATTTATCCTTAATAAGATTTAATTAATTCAAAGCTTATTAACACTACTTTATAAAATATTAAATGTAATTACCTATCATATTTTTATTGGATATTTACTGTTTAAATACTAATTATATTTTTGACTGAAATTAACCAGTTGACAATGATATATTTATTCATTCTATTAATGATGATAATATTCATTGTATTACAATTCATATGCAAAGAAATTATATATACAGTGGAACCTCGGTATACGTCTGCTTTAGAATACGTCCAATTCGGAATACGTCCTGTTTGGACGAAACAAATTTTGCTCGGTATACGACTTTTCTTCGGTATACGACTTAATTCAATTATAAGCGCCATCTATGAACAAGTAGCACTATCGGTGTACTAGACCAGATTAGACGTTCGC